AGTCTTTCATATGCTGTTAATAGAAAGTATAAATTGGCACATCCTGGACTGGAGAGATGGCTCAGTGGTTAAGAGCGCTGTTTGCTCTTTGCAGAGGACCCGAGTTCAGTTCCCAACACCCAATGGTGGCTCACAACTGTCCATAACTCGAGTTTCAGGGGATCTGACGCCCATATCAGACCTCCACAGGCATTGTACAACAGGACACAGGTACACATATATACATGAAGGCAATACACTCATACATATAAAATATTAAAAATAAATAAATTGGTGCATTCATTCTAGAAAGTGCTGCTTCTATTCTATCTTAAGGATATGATTAGAAACAAAAAGATCCATGTACAACCGATGTGTATAACAGCTTTGATAACAGAAAAAAGAAACATTGAATGAAATAAAATGAAATGACTAAGCAAATTACTCAACATCCATTTCACCAGATTTTATGAAACCTTTAAGAATTACACTTACACTGAGGTTTCTGTCATACGGAAGCAAATAATTAGTCTTCAAAAAGTGTATGTATAATATGTTCTCAATCCTGAATGAGAAAAAAGTTAGGAAAATGCAATGAAAATGTTTCAAAGCCTAAATTGTTTCTTTCTCTGAATAATGTAAATATGGTAATTTTTACTTTTGCCATGTTATACTCTTAAAGACTTACAGAAGATTTTACACAATCTTCTCTAAATTCACTACTAGTTACTAAGTGACCACATAGTACCAATCACTGTCCCATAGCACACAAAGCTCATAAGGTACAGCTCTTACCTTATGTTACTTAAAATCTAGTTCTTAATTTTATGTTGTAATTTTTTTTTTTGAGACAGGGTATTCCTGTAGCCCCAGCTGGCCTGGAACTTGATATGTAGACCATGATGGCCTCAGTCTCACAGAGGTCAGGCTGCCTCTGCCTCTCCAATGCTGAAATTAAAGACCTGCACCACCACACCCAGCTTTATGTTGTAATTTTTAACAATAAAATTACCCTTTCTTTAATTAGGGCAAATAAGGGGGAGAGGCATTCATATAGTCTTCATTTGATCTCTTCTCCTCACACCAACTTCCCAAGCCAATAGTAAACCTCTCAACCTTATTTTCCAAAATAATTTCCAGAACGCCATTAAATATAAGTCAGTAGTTTTAGAAAAAGAACAACAAAATACCTAGAGGGTGACCTTAAAGATAATAGAGTTATAAACAGAGATATGAAAGTGCTATCAGTGAAAGTGATAATTTAGACTGAAAAAATGAGAAACACAGCTGCAATTAAGAGTGAAAAGGTAAGCCCCTGAGAAGAAAGCTTTTGTGCTTCATCTATAAGATTCACATCCAGAATATAGAAAGAACTCCTACATAGTAATAGAATGCAACATGATGATGTCACAACTTCCACAATTTAATTTGAGATGGATCTCATATAGCCTAGGCTATCCTTGAACCTCCTACATAGGCAAGGATGACCTTGAACTCCTGATCCTACTGCCTCCATCCTCTGAGTTCCAAATGCTAAGACTACAGGCATGCACTACCATGCCTTGTTTCTGTGGTCTGGGATCGAACCCAGGTCACCCCAAATTTAAAGACAAGTATTAGTGAATGTTGACAGTATGGAGCAGCTGAACTTTCATACACCCCTGTTGAGGTCACAAATTGATATAATCATTTTGGAATACCATTTGGCAATAGCTACTAAAGCTGAACATACATGAAGCCTATGAACTAGGAATTCTAGTGATGTATATACAAGAGAATCATATACATATATAATATATATGCATATGTTCTTCACTTTACATTTTGTATACACACTAAGGCAGCTTAAGCAAGAACAAAGAAACAGTAGAGTGCATAAAGAATAATTAACACTACGTTACTTCAGGTTATTTCCTTGTATAACTTTAAGCAGAGGAATCTTCATCATGTTTGTGCAAGTTAGCTGGGCATTTTGAGTGATAACTATGAATTCCTTGTTTTATTAGAAAACTTGTCTTGGAAATTCATTGTTATCTCTATCTTGAGAGAGGTCAGATTTTGCATACATAGCTTGTTTCAATTTGCTGCATGGACCGTGAACATAAGTGACTCCATTTTGAGTTAGTCTGTCAGGGCCTACTGCAAGACCTCCGACCAAATTGATGAGCTCCTATAATCTCTATTTGTGTCAATATACATACACATATATACTTGCAAGGATGGATATATGTACACATATACAATATATACTTTTATGTATGTGTACATGTGTATATTCTATACAAAATGGAACCACTCTGGCTTCTTCTATTATTATATCAAATCCAAGATTATTATAGCCATTGCCCCAGTTCCACTCTTACATGCCTACAGTCTTTGCCTATAATGAAAATTACAGTTACAGCAGAATCCCAACCATGTTTGTCTTTGGCTAATATAAAGCAGTAGTCACTTCCAGTGTCATTCAGAATGAAATCATTGGAGGAAACATATCTGACAGCTGATATAAAATAGCCTCACCACCTTCACCTGTGAATTGTTCCCTTAAACCACTTATTTTTCTTATTACCAACTGACTCGCCATTTACCTGGCTATGTATTTAGAGTCTTCCTCTCTCCCAGTGGTATGCAAGACAAATGAGAACAGCTTACTTTGTCCTTCAGCTTTATATCCCTAATGTCTAGATGAGAAACTGGCATAAGGCAAGCAATGATGATGGATGAATATTTTGTCACCAAAAATATAGAAAACAGGCCAAGTTTATTAGTCTTCTTTTATAGAATCTAAGAGAATGATCCACAGTAGGAAACTACGAAAATGAAATTACTTAATGTTATTCTGGAGTACACCCAAGTCTTCTGTTTCCCTCTCCTCGTCTCCTTCTCTGTCAGCCCACATATGCACAAGCATGCACAAAGGCACACATATAAGAAACATAAAATAGGAGCAGTTCTCCCAGCTGGTGAAACTAGAAATTTGAACAACTCTGATCACTATCATTCTTTGTTCCTTTACTCTCCTCATAGTCATAAAAATGTCTTATAATTTATATGTGTGCTATAGTTACATATAAATGTATAACATAGTAGATGGCCTCAAAGATAATGTAGCATGTAAAATATATTGCATGTAATTATAGGGAATACATAATCCTATTGACTCATAATTAAATGAGGATGGCATTCAGGTAGACTCATATAGAAAGTATGCACTTTCATTCGAGCCTTGCTTTGTCATCCTATGGCCTTTTGATTCCATGATGCTTAATTTGTTACTATTTTATTTCCCACCATGTATATGTATTTTTATATATAGTCATAAGTATATATGTAAATATATGTATATATTTGGAATCCTTTAGGCTGGTTCCTTCCACATTTTCCATCAGAAAGTTGTTCAAGCAAAATGAGAAGATTTGGTTAGGTCCTATCTGTATCACAACAATCGAAAATTTTTCAGGTCTTAAAGATGACTGTTTTTTTTTTTAAGTAAGTATATCCAAAATTTGGATTATTTCAGTCAGAAGTCTTACTTCCCACGCCCCAGTAGACAAGGATTTTTACGGTTAGTTGCTCTTTCTCTACAGATACCAATTACCTTTTCAAACAGCTATCCAGTGGGATTTGCCACTTGACAGTTTGTCTAAAACTTAGCTAAATGTACAAGTAAGGTGGGAGTGAGAGCCAATTTGGCTGTCAGTCTTGTTGACCCTTTGGTTTTAGTCTAATAAAATGTTTTAAGCCCTTGGACTTATTAAATAACTCAAAGTTTTATTTGGTTAATTATTTTGTTTTTATTTTTTTTGTAATTTTTTAATTGGTTGGTTGGTTGGTTTTTAATTCCAAAAATCGGAAATTCAAAGAAATGAGCTTAATTTTAGCATTTATACCTTTTACCTCTTCTTGCTCAGAAAATAGTAAGCATAACATTAAGCCATAACTTGAAAATGAATTAAATAAATAAAAATGAGGCCAAATTCACTGCATATAATTAGGCTAATGTCTGATCATTTGTTTATCAAGTAGACAAAGCTTCTAATAAGGCAGAAAATAATGATTGTCAGGAGCAATGGCTTTTACTTGTAAGCGCAAAATAATCATTAATGTCTGAGAAGAAAACAGTGCCAGAGTTCATCCTGAAACTAAAGTCAGCAGAGAAAATCTTGTGGTAAAAAAATGTGTCTGTGACTCCACATAGGAACCCTGGCTTCTCTATAGCTGGTCAGAATGGATAATTAACCTCCAAATTTCAGTTTCCTGGGGATGTAAAATCAGAATTAAAAAAAAAAAAAAACTATCTTGGCAGAACTTTCATGAAAATTAAATAATGCCATAGTCCTAAAAATGTTTAAACTGACTCTAAAATTATTTGCAGTTTTTAATAGTGTGTGGGAATATTATTGTGTTTAAACAATTTTTTTGAGTATGTTTCCTGCCTCTCTGCACCCCCAAAGCCAGTTCTCCAAGGTCTAACTAAGAATCCTTGAGGTGTGCTATTCCTGCTTTTTTAGATAAGGATATTTTTCACTAAATGAGAATTTTCCATATGCTCTGTAGGAAGGTAGCAAGCAAGCAAATTAAATGACATGGAAACATTTGAAGAGGCAAAGATCAGTCTCCTCACCTATAACATAAAAATAACAATCAACCTTACAACATTGTTGTTGTAATACTGTAAAATGGTGTGGCAAGTATTGAACAAGAACATTAACACGTAGTTAAGTGGCCAATATACAAAAGATATTAAGCCAGAGTAGCAATTTACAACCAGATTTTGAAAACTTTCATTGATAGTCTGATGAACTTGGACCTTCAGCTGACTAAAAACAGTTGTGCCAACATTAGGGAGATTCTGAAGAGAAATTAGAACAGAGAGTATTTTACATTATCTTTCAAAATTCATGGTAAGATGAAATTGCTGGAAACACTTCGGACTGGTTTAAAGGAGCTTTGGATTTGATGTTCTGAACGGAAAGATAATATTTTCAAGCTTGATGCAGTTTTTTTTTTTTCTTCCACAGTAATCAGTGAATGCCAAAGGCAGCAACTGGAGTCTGTGAGGTATTCCTCCCGCTATGCCCTGGGCCTCTTTTATGAAGCCAGCGTGAAGATTGACGTCCCTTGGGCTGCACGGTACATCACCAGTAATCCCTGCATACGTTTCATCTCCATTGATAATAAGAAACGCAATATAGGTCAGCACTCCCTTTCTTTCCTTTAAACATAGTAACAATGGGGGGGGGTGTAGGCCATGGAAAATGCTGTTTAATTGAGTGTTGCCATTCTGAACAGAGCAAGCATTTAACCCCAAGCCACAGGGGATAAAATTTAACATCACATTTGCCCAGTCATGAAACACACAGTGAAGCCAGCAAAGTTTTTCTGAAAATCATTCACCACATGGTTCGTATTACTGAGTTCATAAAAATAGTGTCAGAAGATTTAAGATTTCAAAATGGCCTATGTTCTGTAGTTTTAATATGGATCTGTGAATATGAAAATGTTTCTCTCATCATCTGTTTCTTAGTGGAATTCCTTTTGGTTTGTTTGGTTTGAGCTTTTTTTAAATTTGGTAAGTGCTGGTCTTCCACTTCCCCAGCTAGAAATAAAAGAAAAATTTTACCATGCTGGAAATCCTGCAATTTGATATTATTTTGTTGCTCATATATGTTTTATCTAGAAAAATGGGGTAAAATTATTCTGTATACAATGTAACTAAAGTGAGTTGCAAAATATTTCATGAGAACCTTCCTAGGATGCACTGAAATCTGTACTTTACTCTTCTTTATTGAAGATAGTTCTAAAACTTAGATTTGAATTGCAAGAAAAGATAACTGATTCATTTCAGCTCCCCCCCAAAGTGATTTTGTTTTCTTATTTGTGGGATTGTGACCTTCTCTTAGATACTGCTTTTCATGAATAAACTATAATGACCTATGATGATGCTCTGAAAAGGAATCATTGTTTCAGTTTGTTATGGTGCTTTACAGTGTGGTGATAGTTTCATCAAGACAGTTGGAAGTATTGCATGATAAAATCATCAACTAATGTCTCTTGGCTTGTCAGAACTTTATGATGACAGAACTAGATTGGAGTGTGGTTTTTTCTATCAGAGCATATGATCTTAGAAAAATGTTTCTTTTATAACTTAAAACTCCCTAAGGCCTGGGCTGTTTATGTTAACATGATACCACATCTATGTATGATCAGCAGCTCATGAAATGCCCTGTAAAAGCAATGGACTAACCATCTCAACTTTACACCTGCTTTGTTCTGAGGAAATAAAAATAGCCTCAAATTTCTCAAGTTATATGCTATGAATTAGACATTATCTTTTGTATTTCACTTCATAAGATAGAATGTCTCTCAGGGTTTATTCAGCTATATACAACAGAAAAAGAAAAAAGAAAAACAAGAGTTAAACATGTTTAAGCAAGGTAAGGGCATTTATTGTATGGTCTGCTGTGGACAGAATTGTCTTTTCCAGATTCAGTGTTGAGGGTTGAGGATGTATCTCAGTGGTAGAGCACTTGCCTAGTGTGTGCAAAGTACTGGGTCCAATCCCTACCACCAATAAAATGAAGAAAAAAATTCATATATTGAAACCTTTGCTAGTCAGTTTTTCATCACTATGATATATACCTGAGACATCAACAGTTTCCTTTGGGTTTCTTGGTTTCGGAGGTATCCATCATGGTGAGCATGCTCCATTGCCCTGAGCTTGTGGTGAGGCAGAGCATAGGTTCTCCTTCATATGCCCATGCTAGCATCAGTTTTTATCAGTGTGTATTTGTCTGGGAGTGAGTGTAGGTACAGGAATGAAACTAGAGAGGGGTCCAGGGGACTAGAATATCAGGCTCTGAGGAAGAGTGGTGGGAGAGTAATAGGATACATAAGACATGTCAGTAGGAGCAAGACCACCAGGGGCAGAGGGGTCTAAGTGGAAGGGAGAAGGGGAGAGGAGCTAGCAGGGACTGAGGATCAAGTAAAACAAACTATGTATAAAGATGCAAGAGTTATGCAGGTTACTTTGTATGCTAGTTTTAAAAGGTAATATATGGTGTGGCAAATTAACCACCTCACCAAGGCCAAGAAGCTGAGAATGAATGCTGGCACTCGCCATCTACTGCCTCCTTCCTCTTTTATTCCCCTTGGATACCCAGCCTGCCCCTGTCTGTGGAAACACCGTCACAGATACATCCACAGGTATCTGTGACAAAATCTCCTAGTTAATTCTCAATGCAATGAAGTTAACAAAACTAACATGAACACATGGAGATTAAACAACACACTCATGAATGATCAATGGGTCAAAAGATAAATTAATAAAGAAATAAAAGTATTCCTGGAACTAAATGAAAAGGACAATACAATACAACAAAACCTCTGGGACACGCTAAAAGTGGTCCTTAGAGGGAAGTTTATAGCTCTAAGTGCCTACATCAAAAAATCAGAATGAACACAAATAAATGACTTAATATTGCAACTCAGCACACTTGAAAAGCAACAGCAAACGAAACCCAAACCAAGCAGACAAGAAGAAATAACAAAATCAGGGCAGAAATTAATGAAATTGAAACAAAGAAAACAATAGAAAGAATCAGTAATTCCAAGAGCTGCTTCTTTGATAGGGGTTGACAGACCGCTAGCCCAGTTAACCAAAAGAAAGAAAGAACACCTCCAAATCAACAAAATCAGAGATGAAAGGGGAAACATCACAACAGACACCAGAAAGACACATAACATTATAAGGGAATACTTTAAGAACCTATATGCTACTAAATTTGAAAACTAAAAAGAAATGGGTGGGTATCTAAAGGCATGGGAACCACCAAAACTAAACCAAGAAGAGATTAACAGCTTAAA